TGATAAAGTTATAAATACCCTACCATCAGCAGTCAGCTTTACATTCAGTCAGAGTGAGCCTCAAGCCTACCTAAAACCACTCATCTATGGGAGAGCCATTCTCAAGTAGGTGGATGCCTGTGACCTCTTACCAGTTTCTGGGCAAGGCTGGAGATGCTTTTGGTCCTAAGAATCCTCTTAACCCAGATGACACCTTGTTCTGTGCAGTATTAAAAAGGTACTTCTCTAGCAGTTATGGCTCAGGTCAAGTACCATCTTAGAAAGTCCATTTGTTTGAGTACTTCCAAGTTGCCTTAGATAACACCACCATAGGCAATTGCCTTGAAAAGAAAGGCTATTTACTCATTCAGCTAGAGAAGCTCATGCCAGTGACATAACCAGCAGTCTGAGCATAGGTGTCCCCAGGCAAGAAATGTTAAATGGCTGATTCAGTTAAGAGAGCAGAGGCCAGAAGACAGAGCAAGGGAGAAAAATAACCATGTATGAAAAATCCATGAGGAAATATGACACTTGGTAAGATAATTAAAAATTGAAATCAATAAAAAAAATGTTTGAACAGAGGTACCTTTGTGTTGTGGAAAAAGAAGCTTCTAGAAGCCATTGGTTATTAAATGAAAACCCCAGCACAGAGGGTGGACTGTCTTGTTACAAAAAATTGTTCAAATGGTTTCAGAGGTCCCCCAAACAATACAAACAACTGTATTAATTGAGTTAATTGCTCACCAGAACTAGAGAGTAAGATCTTATTGCTGAAGTCACTATACAAACTGGTTTCAGGACACAGAAAAATCAAGCCAAAGCCTGCCTAGATGCTTTTTCCCTGCTGGGTAGCACCATGGTGCTGAATAGCTTCCATAGGTGGTGCTATTCAGGTTGCTTTGGGAGAACTGACACTAACATCATTCTAAGATATGGACCTTGCAAGCCATGCTACTGACCAACTTTCTAAGATGTACTGATAGCACAATAGAGGTAAGTATCTTACAGAAGTAACCACCTGCTTTCTAACTGTATTTGAGGCCCATTCTCTCCATAGGGAGAATTAATGTCTGACACTATAAACCCAACCAATATATGTGGCTGAGGAAATCAAAGGCTATAGAAGGGATGCTATTGTGGTTGCTTCACTAAATGGAAAAAAAATACACCATCGCTTTGTCTTCTAAGTAACTATATTTATGCCCATAGATTAGCACTTGTCTTAGTTACTTTTTTAATACTGTGATGAAACACCATGACCAAAAGGAAACTCAGGAGAAAAGGATTTATTTGGATGCCATGGAGGGGTGCTAATTACTGGTTTGCTTCTTATGGCTTGCTCAATCTGCTTTCTTATAGTACCCAGGACCACCAGCCCATGGTTGGCACCATCCAAAATGGGCTGGACCCATTTCATCAATAATTAATTTTAAAAATGCCCTACAGGGTTGCCTGATTACAAACTGATCTTATAGAGGCATTTTTTCTTCCAGTTGAGGTTCCCTCTCAAAGTACTCTAGTTCAGTGGTTCTCAACCCTTTCCGTATGTTGTGGTGAACCTCAACCAGAAAATTATTTTTGTTGCTACTTCATAACTGTAATTTTCTACTGTCATGAATAGTAATGTAAATGTTTGATATGTGGGATATCTGATATGTGACTCCTCTGAAAGGATAATTCAACCCCCAAAGTGTTGAGGATTAGTTCTAATGCTTTGAATTAATCTGACCCCCCAAAATTGGGAATCTGCATGTCTAAATGCTGAAGGTCCTTGTCCCTAATTGGTTTCTGATAGAGCAATAAAGAGCCAATGGCCAATCACTGGGCAGGTAGACTGGGGCAGGACCTTTAGATTTGGTCGGGCTAGGAAGTAGGAGAAAGGAAGGGGAGAGAGAATTGCTATGACTTGGGGGAGAAGGCTGGGAAGTAAAAGCTGCAGGAAAGAAAGCCCACCAGCCATGTAAGAATTGGGCCAGTAGCTACTGGCCACTTAGCCGATTGGGTCTGGGGTAGCAGGGGATGGTCTAAGAGTCTCAGGAATACCAGAGGGGAACATTTGCTAACACGGGAAGGTTTAGGAGTGCCCAGCCTTTGAGCTAGTCATAGCAGTCAAAACTTAACTGCCATGTATGTATCTTTCACTTGCAAATCCAAAGAGCTGCTTGGTGGGTGGTTGGGAGAGCAACCTGCCTGGAGCCAAAGCAGTGTAGCTAAACTTGCCAATATACCTAAGGGGTAGTGACCCACAGGTTGAGAACTATTGCTTTAGTTTCTGTTAAGTTGACATCAAACTAGCTAGGGTAGTACTGCTCTCAGTTATGGTCAGAGAAGCTTCATTTTACAATGACAAGCAATAATAAGAACAAAGAGAATAAGAACTGCTGCAAATAAGTGGATGCTGAATGCTCAGGTATAAGCAGAAAATCAATACCAGTCTCTCCAAGACTCAGGGGATACCAGAAAACAAGGAATAATAACAATTAAAAAAAAATCCAAACCCTAAGAGACAAATGATGGAAGATGGGTGTGAAACTCTGACTTTCTGGCATGACACATGTACTAGCTGGGTTTTGTCAACTTTACACAAACCTAGAATTAACTTGAAAGAATAATCTTAATTGAGAAAATGCTTCCATCAGATGTCTGTAGGGAAGTCTATAGAGAATTTTCTTGATAAATTATCAATGTAGGAATCACAGTCCACTGTGGGTGGTACCATTCCTTGGCACATGGTCCTGGGTTATATAAGAAAGCAGGCTGGGAAAACTATGAGGAGCAAGCCAGGGAGGTAGTATTCTTCCATAGTTTCTGCTCCTGTTTCTGCTTTGGGTTCCTGCCCTGACTCCCTTCATGAAGGACTGTAAGCTATAAGGTGTAATAAACCTCTCTACACGTTGGTTTTAGTCACACTTATCAAAGGAATAAAAACCTAAGACAACATACCTATTGCAGTCTTGAGATCAGATGAGGTGATTGTCTGTACAAAACTTTAAGAAGCTTGAACCCACCAAAGTTCTGTCATAGGAAGGGAGGTTCCCATCCGTCCTTGAGGATATATATTATGGTTGGTGGCAGGGAAGAAAGTAATCTTCTTCAGAGGTCTGGTTGCTGGTAAGATGCCCATAATCCTATAACAAAGCCTCTCCCATCTCTTATACACAACCCTAAAGAAATTCATTGGGTTAGTACCACCAGGATCCTACCCCAACTCGTACCCTTAGGCTCACTTCTACTAACAAATTAGGGACAAATGAAAGAGAAAATAGAAAGAGGAAGGGGACTGTAGGTGAAGGAGATCAGTGGGAGAGAAACAGAGGGTAAAGGGGTGAACATAATAAAAAACAAATTAGATACCTGTATGAAAATGCTGCAACTAAGATATGATAATAAAAGCATCACAAAGTCAGATATCTGGCTCACGACTCAGGTTGGCTTTACTGACTGAGACATCTTGCTGATGCATTGCATAATTATAATTTCAAAAAGAAGGCTGTGTTTGGTTTCTAGACACCCCCACACACAAGGGAATGAGATGCATATTTTACATATCAAAGCAGACCCGGCCTCCAGGTTCTCCCAGCATCCCTCAGTTCCTCCCTAGCCATACCCTGTCCCAAACCCTGAACCTTCCAGCCCAGGAGCGGGTCTGCCCTTCCCCCAGAGGCTCTTCCCTATATAATTCAGACATTTTGGTCTTTCCCTCTCTCTTCTCTCTCTCCTTCTTTCTTTGCACCCTTTCTCTGTCTTCCCCCTCCCTCCACTTCTCTCTCCCCATGGTGACTTCACTGGCTTCAGTCTTTGGGGCCAGTGAACTTGACTGAGAGCAGCTTCCCAATAAATCTGTCTACATATAATCTAATCTGTCTTGAATTGGCTCATTTTGTCGGTGGAGAAATAACCTATCAGACTGTATATATTACTTTACCATTTTCCAGAGACTCAATCATTACCATAGCCAGCAGTGTTGGGCTTTGAAAAGCAGCTGTTCTAGACCGCTGATACCTGTTTGACTATCTTCCTTGGCACCCAGGCCAGCTAATCAGAGCAGTCCAGGTTGTGGAGCTTGTCTCTACATTATAAACGTATACCCACAAGTCTTCTAGACCTTTCCTCTCTTCAACAGAAGAAAAGCTAGGATTTACTAACATGCTTCAAGCCAGTGGTTCTCAACCTTTCGGTTTTGACCCCTTAGTGGGTTATATGACCTTTTCAAAGGAGTTACATATCAAATATCCTGCTGAAAGGACAACATAAACATTTGTCTCCATTTATAGGAGCCCATTTGTTTTCATTTAAGGTCTTGGACTGATTTTGAAAAAAGGCCATATGGCACCAGCTCAAGGAACAGACCATAAGTTCAAAATCTAGTCCATAAGACGGCAACCAGCTCCATAAAATCCAGAAAAAGATCATTAAACTACCTCCCAAGGAACAGCTTGGGGATAATCACAAAAATGGGGAAATATCTTATCCCAGAACGGACCATCTGCGCTAAGCAGCCCTATCTCATCCTATGATAAAACGTTGATGACATAGGAATGCAGAGCTCTGGCCACCTGTGATCCCCTAGCACCCACCAATGAAATTTTAGATTACTTAACCCCTCTAGACAGTTCCCCTGGCTCACCATAAGAAGCCCTGAGCACCTTTGTCTGAGGTCGCCATTTCAAAAAATGCTTGACCCCCACATGCTGCTTGTTTCTGTCAAATAAACACTCTGTTTTTGTAAACTATCTGAGTCTGGGGTGTTCCTTCAGTGATTTTCAGACCCTTATACTGCATATCAGATATGTACATTATGATTCATAACACTAGCAAAATTACAGTTATGAAGTAGCAACAAAAATAATTTTATGGTTGGAGGAACTGTATTAGGGATATGAGGATCTGGATTAAAGGGTCACAGCATTAGGAAGGTTGGGAACCACTAGTTTAAGCAGTTCAAACCACAGGCAGAAAGATTATTCCCCATGAAGGCACAAAGCACTAAATGTTCTTGTTGCAAAAGACAGTCTACAAACCTGAGCAGAAAGTAGAGGCAAAGTTCTGAAGGGCAGAGTCGACCTCTTCCACACTGGATAGGGCCAGGAGCCGGGGAAGGAGGCCCTCAAGGGACTGTACAAAGAGTCGTGCGCTGTGCTGGTCTGCCTCCTGGTTCTTCAGCAGTTTGAGAGACAGAGCAGCGGTTCGCAGGGACCGATGGCCCATGTAATCCCGAGGGGTCTGTTCTTCATCAGCCAGTGAACAGTTGTCGGACCCAATGTCTGACACATCAGACCTACCTGAGTCCTTTTCTGCTGCCATGGAATACTGGTCACAGGAATCAAATTCAGTCCTCGACAGGTCTTGGTCATCTACACTGAAATTACTCTCACTATACCTAGATCCATAAGACCTTGTCCTGCAGTCCACAGACAGGAAGTTAGTGATGTCAGGGTAAGGGACTGTGTGGCTTCTCTGAATCACGTCGGGCTGGTCTATGGTCTCAGGTTCTGACACTTTGCTCATGGTCTCCTTGCCTTCCTGGATGGCTGGTGACTTGAGTCCATTCTTGTGGTCCTCTGGGGTCGTCTGACCTAATTCTCCTTCTAAGGTAGTCTGGCCTGTGTCTGTGGTGACACTGATGCTGATGTCAGGGCTCCTCTCATTGCCTGACTCCCATGGTGTGTGCTCGGAAGATAGCACTCTCCGCTGCCAGCGGAAGTCAGCCTCATTAATTTCCATGGAGTCCCGGCTTGACTCGTTTCCCCCATCCCTCAGCTCTTCAAGGCGCAGAAGCAGCTGCTGTACTTGGTTGTCGTTCAAGCCCTTCCCCTGGCTGAGTTCATCCAGAGCCCCAAGCAAGGTACAGACACAGGACACAGCAGCGTAGCAGGCTTCAATGCCACCTTTGATGCATGCTTCTGTCATACCATCCATGATGCTAAACAGTGTTCAAGACAGAAAACAGCAGCCAGGGATGAAAGATCAAGAAATGCCCCCAAATATACAGGAGTTATTAACTTGGCCAACTGCACAGTATTCAAAAGAGATAATATAACTTGCATAACATCAAGACAATAAGTGACTCAATCACACTCAGGCTGGAAAAAACTCCAGATAAAGTTCTCCACCTAAAACCATATGTCCTTTTGGTTGGATAGCTTTTCTGGGAACAAGTAAAAGTTCTAAAAGTAATTGTGTTGTTTTATTACAGACACTGAGAATTTCATTTTTGTATTATGTTCAGACCTTCATATAGAAACAGTTTCTGTGGCCAAGAGTCATGAAGACATTTCTGTGTAAACATATTCTTACCAGATGAATGTCAATACTATTCGTACAAATTGCTGAGTTTTCTATGGAAGCTACTTGCAATAGAATCTACAGGTCATACTGTAAATCAAAAAGTTCTTCACTTTAATAATTCAATGGATAGTTTTTGGATGTTTCATTGTGTAGATTCAATTTTAAGCCAGTAGGGAAATCTGGCAAGTTACCAGTAGAATAAACTGATATGTTTTGTGTGGCTTGTGAGTAAATAATTAAACATACACATTTTTAAATGTAAACTCATCAAAATTTTGTGAATTTGGGGTTAAGATGAAAGTATTCAGAGAACCAGTGTTGGATACCAACACATATCCAAAAGGAAAATGGAACATACAGTTTGAGAAGATCCAAGTGAGACTTTCTTTTGGAAATCGATCTTTTCCTTGGTTCTAACTCAATAGAGCTTGGTCCTGCCAAGTCATATAGACGCTGTGGGCTCCCAAGTATCTTTAGAAGAAAAGGAGAAAAATAACAGAAAAGTGAATATCACAAAAACAAACAAACAAAACCAAAACTACACCACATTTTTATTTGATCAAGAGATCAAATAAACAATGTGACTTTCTTTAATGAAGGATATAACAGCAGAAATGATTACTAGGCGGAGGCTCTTTTCCCGGAAATACTTAGAACCAGAAGAAGCTCTGATCTGACACATTATTTTTCAGATTTTTGGCCTACTTGTACCTGTGTAATGAGGTATTTTTGGGGTGAAATCTGTGGTGGACTGAATGAAATATCATTCGTAGTCTTGGACATTTACATTCTTGGTCCTACCATTTGGGTAGGTTTAGGTGTGGCCTTGCTGGAGGGTGTATGTCACTGAGGTGGGCATTGGAGTTACACAAGTAATGCATTGTCCCTGGTCCCCCTACTCTTCCCTACCTGCTGCTTGAGGTGTGACCTCTTCGCTGTTCTCAACACCAAGATTTCTGTCTACTGCCACAATTCCCTGCCACACTGAATTCTTTTCCTTTGAAACTGTAAATCCAAATAACTTTTCTCTAAGTTGCCTTGGTCACAGTGTTTTGATACAGCAATAAGAAGGAATTAATATAGAACCGAAGTTAAACATCAAATTAATTTCACACAATGTTAGCATTTTATCTAAGCTCCGCCCCACAGTTACCTGGTAATGACCAGTATGGCTGACTAGGCATGCCTCTCTCTCTTGTTCTCTTGCCTTCTTGCTCTCCCTCTGTCCTCTTGCCCCTTTCTCTTCTCTCCTCATTCCTCTCCCTCTCTCTCCACATGCTCATGTCCTGTCTCTACTCCTCTTCTCTTCTCTTCTCTTCTCTTCTCTTCTCTTCTCTTCTCTTCTCTTCTCTTCTCTTCTCTTCTCTTCTCTTCTCTTCTCTTCTCTTCTCTTCTCTTCTCTTCTCTCTTCCGCGCTCTCACTCTCAATCTTGGCTCTCTCTGCCTTTCTCTGCTTCTACTACTGTCTCGGCTCCCCTCCCCACACCATGAATAAACTCTATTCTATACTATACTGCCCTGTGGCTGGTCCCTCGGAGGGAAGAGATGCCATGGCATGAGCCCACAGAGGCACACTCTTCACCCACACCTTACCGCACGTCCATCAAACATATTCCTTCTCTCCTTATCTTTTTATAACACATACACAAACAACTTGTATTTTTAGTCTGATGGCAATGTTACACAATATTTTTAAAGCTTTGCTGCATGGAGGTTTTGTACCATAGTATTTTCTACTTATGGAATTATGGCAGTACTGAAGAAAGTTCTGCACTTCATATTTCAGACTAATGATATTAAATGTACATCTTAATGAGATTAATTGAAGCCATAAATTCCTTAGCTGCAAAATTGAATGTGATACACTGTTACAGTCACTGGGCTGTACAATGGCTCTCTATAACTTCTTCACATCAAGTCCCTTAATCAGCATCTCTCCAACTTCCATCCCTGTATCCCTTAGTGATCACACTTCTACTATCTGCTTCTATGTGTTCAGCATGTTTGGAATTCACATATAGATGAGATCAAGTGGTACTGCTTTCTGTACCTAACTTATTTCTCAGTAAAATGCATCCATGTTGTTGCCAAGGACAGAATTCCTTTTTCTCTTCAGATAAATTATTATTCCATGAATACTAGTTTGACTAGATTTAGTTTCTATCTTCTCCGGCTGTAGTCACTGCATGTTGTGACAGTACACTGGTGATGATACTTTACTAATGGTTGTAAGTGAAGCAGCCTCTGTTTGCTATGTTATGGGTCATCAACTTCCTAGTTGACATGTTCTTCTAGTGATTTTTCTTAGAGTTCTTTAGTTCTTCAGTTCCTTCTGAAGTAGCTGCAGAGATGGGAATAATATTGAGACTCCTTATTTGTCTTTGGAGTCATGCTTTTCATTTTCTTGTTTCAAATAAATGCAGAATATACAATTGCTAGTAATAAAATGTTCTTTTTTTAAATAGGGATGGGTTCAGTAAGATGAGGCAACATGGATGCTTCTATAGAAAGTTATTTGAGGATTATGGAGTTATTACAGATAGACATAATTAACTCCCAGAAGGGCAAGTTTTGCATGATGCTTCTCTTTGTACATCTTTGACATTTTCACATAGATTCAAAGGCACTGAGTGTAGGAAGAAAGCCGAGTCCAGAAACAACAAAAAGTGGTTTTCTAGTTATTTTCCATGTTTCAGGAATCTGTGGTCTGTTCATATATACATGCTGATATCTGTTTGTATTCTATTTATGCCCAAGGGTTAAATTAAAATATAATCTGAAATTGTGCTTTTTTTTTTCCTAAAAAAACCTGGCTGAGAAAAGATGAATTTCCAGCATTTGAGAATCTTTCAAGAGTCTGCATTAGTTAAAAGTTTTAAAGATTTTATTTTGTTTAAGTGTGTGTGTGTGTGTGTGTCTCCACAGGTATGTGCACATGTGAGTGCAAGTGCCCACTAGGGACACAACTAGGCATCAGATTCATACTCTACTAGAGTTGGAGTTATAGGCAACCTGTGAGCTGCTTGACATGATTTCTGGGAACTGACCTCTGCCAGAGCAGTGTGGGCTCCCAACCATGGAGGCATCTCTCTAGCTATACATTTTAGAGCAAAGTGAATGATTTTATTCTGTCCTTTCCATGGTAGAAAAATTCATGCCCTCTTCACATGTCACCAAGGCTACCACCAACTACCAGAGTTTCCCTTCTTCTTTATTGAGTGTTCCATGTTCAACAGCTACTGAATAACCAGAAATGTGAAGCTGTCATTCATAATCTTGGAACCTTCCAGAGCACTAATCTCTCTCTGCTCTTCAAGCCGGGAGATATTTCTGAAGACAACTTTTTGAAAGTTGTTTGAAAGTCTGTTGTTGTTGTTGTTGTAACCCAGACCCAGATGTCACCACCTTCTCTACAGGGGCAGGGACAACCCTTCTATCTCCTCCTCCCATTTGATGAGCCTGGGTTATAAGGTCTTATAGTACTTTTTGCTTTGACTCTTACTTCTTTCTGTTACTTTAAATCTATTCTTCTCTGTTTTCCAACAGAGAAAGCGGTTGGAGAGGTGGAATGTTTATGTTAGGTTTTCTACTTTTAATCCAGTAGTTGAAGCTGTAACGAGCTTGTGCTCGGCAAGGGCTGCTTTCCCACAAGCTTTCGTATATAGCATTCTTGTTGGAAATTGTTCATTTCCAACTGACTTATGTTTCCATATGCTTTACATATTTACAGAAAATGTCATTTAGAGGTTAAATTAAAAATTAACTAACGGAGTTGTATAGAACATAAATCCCATTGTTATGATCCTTAATTTTCAAAGTGAGGAATTACCTAAGTATGAATAGAAATATTACTAGGAATTAGTTACATGTAAAGGGAATCTCTTTTCCTTCTTCCACTTTTTTGAAGGGGTGAATACACCCTTGAGAGATGGGGATTTTGTTTTTCTTTGGTGTTGGGGATGGGCCTCATGGATGCTCAGCATGTTCTGTTGCACTAAGCTATACCTCTAACCCTAGGGATAGGACTCTAAAACTTCAATTTCTCTTGGAAGCCAACCTTAATCTCTAATTATACTTAGATAATGTTCCTGAATGCCTTAATTTGTCATGTACTTGCTATGTGCTTCAGAATCTAAAGTGGAAGGGGACAGAGATCTTCTGAAAGACCCCCCCATAAACACTCAAAGAAAGAGAATACCCTTTTATCTTCTTGTGGTATTGACACCAAACCTCAGAGTCTTGGGTGTGCTAGGCAAAGACTCCACCACTGAGCTACAGTTCTAGACACCCACCCAAGCCCCTACTGCCACCTAGTGCTAGGGATTTGTGTTTATTAATCAAGTACTGTACCACTGAAATACATCCCCAGCTTTTAAAAATCTCATCTTAAGATAAGCATGAGAGGTACAGCATCTGTGATTTGGTGCTCTTGGTCTGACCATTATGAACTTCTAAAGTGCACCCATAGGGTAAAGCAAAGGAAAGAACTTTATTTTTTTCATACTTATTATTAGGAAGGAGGTAGAACCAGAGAGAGAATGTATGGTATGAAACACACAGTCCTACATGTCTTTGACAAATAGCCATATGTTGCATATGGCACAGATGTACTGGGAAATAATAAACAGAAAGGCAAGCAAACATTCTGGGTACAGTTGTTTGCTTTCTTTGTGTTTTCTTTGTGTGCAAAGCCCTGGAATATTTTGGTGTCTAGGTACCACCTTCTCCAAAGTGACAGTTTTCCCTATAAAGGAGAGACACTATTTTCTAGAACAACCTGGTTCAAATTCATCTGCTTGGCTTCCTAGGGCAGCACTGGCTGCACACTCTTGTTGGAAGAAGGCATCTAATTCTAGTGTTTCCTCTGCTCAATGCTCTTGGGAAGCATCTTGGGTTAAATGCCAGAGGGAAAATACACAAGGTAACCCATACAAAATATATGGGAGGGTACAATGACTTTTCCCCCACCCTACTGTGAAGGAATCAACATGATGTGGCAAAGCATCACTTGCTGAAGGATGGATGGAGTTAAAAGAACCGAGCCTGCTTGGCCAACCCTTTTCTTTCTCTTTGTACTTTGAGGATCTACTGACACAGAGGATAGATAGTGGTCTGTCTGAAGGGAGTGCTGGTGGCAAGGCCCTGTTGCTTAGGTGGTAGCCGATGAGTCTTCCCTTCAAAGATATATAGTCCTCACCAACCAAGTAGTGATAAGATCTGAGATTTCCATGAGGGATGGGAAAAGAAGCCATATTCCTTATTGGTAATAATAAAGTTGATACACAACCTGTTAAAGGCGTAATGAACACAACATGCCTGGCATAGAGTAGGAAAGATATAATGAATGGTTTTATATGTTCACCATATTTTCTTGACTAGCAATTATATCTGGATTACTCAATTTCTAGAAATGTTGGTCTTCATTATGGTTAGATTTCATAATAACACTACCAAGAAGCAATTAAAATTTAATTTTATGCTCTTTGTCCTTGACTGGAGAAATGAGATGCAAAGGGGCCATCATCATCTGGAAACAAGTATGACTTGTTACACACAGCTGTGGATGTATGGCTTACCACCATCAGAAGTTGACCTGTGGCCATGGGCCTACCCTGACAAGCACCTGGCAAGTCATTTTGAAATCAGACTTTACTAAGGTGACAAAACATATTTTCATATAGCTTCAAAAAAGAAAAAAAAAAAGAACCCATACTAGCAGTATGAAATCTCAGATGTATATCTAACAGAGTTTTAACAAACACATAGCTAATTACCAAAGAGTATAGAGCCAGTGAATATCTAACATTTTTTTTAAACCACAACTCCCAAAATAAATGACTACCAACTTCAACATTGTTTGTTGTTGGACTTAATATACTAGAATGATATTCCAGCAAGTGATGACAAACAGTTTAGATGCTTCTGCATGCAGGACACTGCATAGAGATCCCTGTGGGCAAACCCAAGGCATTCTTTCAGACCTCCCTACCTCTTTCATGATCTTGATAGCTTCCACTCGGTGCTGGGGTGGGGGATACAGGAGCACTCGGTGATAGAGGGATTGGAGCACAGGCTTCATGGAGTCCACTGACCCCACTAAGCGGACAAGCTCGGCTGCAAGGTAATAGATGGTGCGAGCCACAGGTCCACTGAGGGTAGGTGCAGTGCAGGAGCAGCCTGAGCCTCGGCCATGGTCAGACACACCAAGAGAGGCTGAGTCCGACTCTATGTTGGTACTGGTGCTGGTGCTGTGAGCAGAGGTGATTGTTTTGTCATGAATTGGGTTCCCCAGGATCACAACGAGAGCAGGGCAGAGGCTTTTCCTGGGAAGAAGCAGGAGGGAAAATAAGCCTCACTAGTAGCCAAGTGATAAAATGTGAATGCTACCAGGAAGGCAAGTAGACACCATAGAAATATCCAGGAAGAGCAGGTATCCCTACTGTTCCTTATTTGACCATGTTACACCCAGTATACCTAGTCTTCCTCATTTCTCACTTTAATGTTAACTAAATAACATCCAGGAAAGCATTCAAGAACCATTTCCCCCCCCCATCTGTGTGTGTGTGTGTGTTTGAACAAATAGGACTCAGAATGGTAGAATGTGTCCTTATCAAGTTTCAGTTTGCTATGAATAACAGAATTATTTATCATTTAAGGTGTTAATTTCAAGTCCCATATCAACATTCATCATTCAGCTTCCTCCCTGGCAATAAAACATGATTTATGGCCTACCAATTGGCTGCCTGCTGAGCCTGTCACTTCCTGGAATCCATGGACATGGGTAGGTGATTAGTACTCTTGTGGAGATAGGGACCATCTCAGGGTTAGAATATCTTGCCCCATATACATTCCTGATATGTTTATATGCTTTTAGAACAAACCGAGAAGCCAGAAGTCACTTGATTCTGATCACTTATGATTCCATTGAAGTAAATGGCATAAGAAGGCTGCTGGAGGCACATTTGTTATAATAACCATTAGTATCTCTATGAAATTTGGGCTTATATACACAAACAAAGCAATTCTCCCATCTGGAGGGTACATATGCATGGATGAAATAAATCATTGGTAGTGCACAGGGGCTATAGAATGGGACTGAGACACAAGTATAGGAGTCCTTGCCTAATTGTGGGGCCATCAAAATTCACGCTCACCAGATGAGGTCAGTGAAGCCCCTGTGCAGGTACATGGAGGAAGAGGAGCTGCTGAGCATGGACAGAATGCATTCCAGGTACAGAAGCTGTAGCTGCTGGCTGTCACTGTGGAAGCACAAAGGCAGGCGAAACACAAGACAAAATGAGAGAGGTAGCATCGAGGCAGAACCTGGAGAAATATTAGGCATCACCCAAGAAGATGTGTGGTTAGTGTTGCAGGTAGAGCTTTGTCCTTTAGAATAAAATCCTAACCCCCAGCAGCTAAGAAGGCTGTCTTCTCTGGAGCACAGTTAAAGTGTCTGTATTAGCGTGGGCCCTAACCCAATATAATATAATAACCCTCAGAAAGAAAAACTGTAGACACCAAAACGCGCATAGAGAGAAGACTGTATGAAGAGACATACGGAGAAGTCTCCACTAAGCAAGTGGGGAGGTAGGGATGGAGGAGTGGGCCAGGTCCTCGGACTGCTCAGAAGAACCATCCTGATCTTGAACAAGTCAGCCTACAGAACAGTTAGAAGATAACAGCTCCTCTGTTACCCTTTGGTACCCTGTTATGTTATGGCAGCCCTAACAAAGTGATAGACTTAGACTGATTTGGGGAAACTAATAAACTATACTTTGGAGAAATATTTCTGAGTATCTGTAAAACTGAGTGTGAAACAGAATGGCCATTGTTTTATGTCCCTCGCACACAGCTTATCGTATCCACATCTTAGATCAAAATAGTACAGTGTCTACAGTTACAAATGTGGATAGATGGTGACAGGTTAGCCAAACCCTATATATGCCAGAAATGCTAATTATCCCTGGGGGCTTAACTTTCTAAGAAACCATTTGGATCATCTTTTCTTTTCCTATCTCTCCCTACATCATCTTTTTCTTTCTTCTTTGTACTGGGGCTTAAACCCAGGGCCCCATAGAGGCTAAGTAAGCACTTGAGCAACACCTCTAGCTACCATATTATCTCATTAGTGAATACCTCACCGATTCACGGTTCTTCTTTATCTATTGAGGAAATGTGTTCCAAAATTTTTAATTTATGTTCATGGCTATTTTGTTTTCATGTATGTCTGTGTACCACATGTGTACTCTGTGCCCTTAGAGGCTAGAGGATAGTATTGGATGCTCTGGAAGTGGATGTTGTGTGTAACAAGTAATACAGACATTTGTTAGCCACCATGTAGGTGCTGGGAATCAAACCTGGGTCCTCTGGATGAGCAGTCAGAGCTTTTAACTGCTGAGCCATCTCTCCATCTTCATATATATGTACCAATATATAGATAGTTGTCATTATGGGTTGTCTTGCTAATCTAATAAGGAAACAGACAACTCTATAGAAAACACATTCCTGTGTTTCCTCTCAGTGTCACCCAAGGGTGCTAAATTTCCAGTTTATGGTAAGACTCATGAGAATGGAGAAAAATTAAGTTTCAAAAGACACATTTGCTTGAAGTACACATATTCTAAAGAGAAATAATATACGAATCTCTTATGAAGTAGGCTATCCATAAATGGAGATATCTACCAATAAAAAATAATGGTCAGTTACTCCTGTTTTTTCCTAATTTAAAATAAATGCCAGAAAAGAAGCTTATTATTCTCAACAGTTAAATAACTTCCTAACACAAGAGGTGGGGAGGGGAAAACCAGGCTGTGAAAGTAAATTACTAGAATCCAAAAAACCTAGGAAGAGGGAAAAGGAAGCTGCCCAGTGAGCCCCAGAGGCTCCATACTCTGCCAAACTGACAAGGATGTGTCACTGCAAGGCAAAGCAGGCAGAGATGGAGATTGGGGATAGCTTTATGGTAAAACCTCAAGTCAACTTCAGACTCTAAACTGGATGGCAAACTATAGCTCAGAGGCCAAACTCTGTGAACTTAAAATTGTGTTTAAATTTTAAAGGGGTTATAAAGTCAAAATTTTAAAAAAGCCCATCAGGAGACTTTACAGAAAAAGTTCACCAACCCACAGATTAAAAGAACTTTTCCCTTCATACTACCTGATTAACGTCAACACGCTGAAAAAAGAATACAGATTTTATTTATAAGCGCTCTCTGAGGATAGAAGAGAGGGGTATAAAGAATGAGTTGACACAGAAATTACTACCATTTGGCAGAAGGAAGATGATGATTACTGTTTCATCAGAAGACTAAGAAGGGCAAGAAACATTAATCTTTTGCTAGCCAAGTAAAAGCTTTATATTTCTAGTCTTTCCTTCCTACAAGCTTCATCTGCCTTTGCACTGCTCTGAAAATAGCACACTCTTCACTGTGGGAAGAGATAGGGAAGCACATAGATTAAGTACTGATGTCAAGTGCTGTAAATGAATCACTGACTTCAAATTTCTATGATACTGCATAAGAGAACCACCCCTTCAGAAAGGCCCTGGGAGGAATTTGATAGGACATGCTACCATTGTAGAATCCTGAAGTCCAAGCAGATGTCTGGCATGGAGCTGTGGAGAGGGTGTGCACAAATGAGGGCAGAGGAGGAAGCAGTTTAGGCTGGAAGATTTTGGGGTGAAGCAGAGGATGTGAGAATCCTGTCTGTAAAAGAGTGAAGTTGGAAGCGAAGGACAGTATGGTGTGTATCTGTAATCCCAGCACTTGGGGAGCAGAGGCCGGAAGATCTGGACTCAAGTTCATTTTCAGCAGTAAAAAAGATTCAAAGCTAGTTTGAGCTGTATGAAATTCAGATACCAGATGAGCCTGGGACCCATAGACTTTTCTATTTGTCCAGACAATGATCTTGTTTGGATGGACTGGAGAGAGCTAGATAGCAGAGCCACACTGTGTATTACAAGTTTCATTGAAAAGTCAATTCTGCAGAGATCATCTCCATTGTATCTCAGGTTAACTGCTCTAACTATGAACTGAGCTCGTTTTTTAGGAAGATTCTATGTCCCAATGCAAAAACATCTCTTCTTCAATCTGGTAGTCTAGCATCACACAGTTAAAGTAAACAGAAAATAAAGATTCTCAATTTCTGAAGTCTTCAGATATAGTATTGGATGAAAACAATGAGCAGTTGGGGTTATTGTGAATAATTGCATAGCCTGCTAGGACCCAGGCATCAGCATCATGAACAGGAATGTATTGTCAAGTAAACTTGTCCAGGAGTCTCCTTGGAGATCATATGAAAGCTTAAATGTGGGCAGCAGCAGTCTGGAAATTGGGTACTTAATGGTCTTGCTCCTAAATGGAGCCACTGAAAATAGAAGAATCTTCCACAGGTTTCTCACTTAGAGACTTCTGAACATGTGTACAGTGTCAAGCCTTTCAGGCTTGTATACTTACAGAACGGCAAACACTTGGATGCACGGAGTAGGAAGGAGCCTAGAATCTAGCTAAGTTTTCTAAAATATAGGGGTGGGAGGTACACTCCTACTTAGAAGGGCTGGGGACTACTCTTCCTGGTCTTTTGTTAGAGCATTTCATAATTGGCAGATTGCCTACTCGCCTCATTGCCTGCTCAGTGCTGAGTATATAATCCAAGCAGAACAATTCTCAGCAATTGTAAGCTTGAACATATAGGCTGATCAGTCACCCAGAAAGGGAGGGTACAATCAGCAGCATTTTCAAGATCTCTGTAGATCTCAGTATTGGGTTTAAATGTTTTTTTTTTTTCTCCAAACGTTTGATGCCTTTTGTGTGGCTAGCTTTTGGAGCCATTTCTAGAGGCTTGGCAGGAATTTGACATTGGGCAAGGACAGGGAAGTAAGCTCAGGCAGGAATCTGATTTTGGGCTAGAACAAAAAAGTTGGCTTCTGGCAAGAATTTGACTTTGGGCTAGGACAAGGAAGTAGGCTCAGATATTTTGGTCATCCTGGTAAGCCCCTAGAAACAGTGATCAAGGGACTTTGTTTATTGCTTTGTTTGTTCCTTAACCTAGAGCTGACCTTATTATTTGCTTGTAATTAAAATGTTATAAAAGCAGACTGGGAAAAAAATTAACCCCACGTTAGCCTTAGCACTGGCTGGAGTTATAGTTTTGTCTAATTGTCTTTTTCTTTTCAATCCTCCCTCCCTCCATGGAGAACCTGTTGATTGACTGAGCTGGCTTGGTCACTTTTGGTTCATATTTGAATTTAATTAGAAAAATCAGAGAAGGAAGCAAACACTTATATAAGAGATGGAGTAGAATTAAAAAGCTGATGGCTGGCCTTATTGATTCTACGCCTTCTTTGGTATAGACTCCTGTCTGACAGTCTTTAGAGAGGGAGATTGGGATAGAGTAACAGATAACAGACTAAGAATGAATCAATCACATACGCTAAGACCAATTATTCTCTGAAAAACTCTTGAGCTAGAGAGGAACCATGCAACTCAGCTTGTCTAATATAGAACTCCAATAATAGTACATCTCCAAGGCCTGTGAATTATCCTGAATACCTCAATATATTTTCAGAATTCTCCAGAGACTGAATATATCACAATCACATGTCCCTACTGAGCCTAAGCCCTGGGAGGTACCTGGGGTCCTGTTCTGAAAATGATTGTAGGGAGAAATACTGCCCATTGGAATTTCATAGGGGAAAAAAAAAAGCTACTTAAAAGACATAGGAAATGTCTCGTTTAACTAATAAAAAAGAAGAAACTAAGAAAGTTGAATCAGAAGAGACTCCACAAACATGAGCACTTCCTAAGAAGGAAGATATTAACATTGGAGTGTCCACAGAAGCATACAAGCTACTTCAGCTATTCTAAGCATTTGGCACTCAACTTCTTCAGCAACTCCACCCCCTTCTCCTTGGGGTACTTAAATTATTGGCAGAGACCACAAGCAAACATAGTCCTATAGAAGTAAGACTATGACCAGGGGAATTTCATCAAAAGCCCAGGACTATGCACAACCTATCAAAAGTATGAAGCACAGTACTAGTCTGGCATCACACATCTAAAGAATGCAGACATGCCCTCGATTATAGCATGATCTGGCAGGAATGCAGACATGCTCTTAGTATACGACTTTAATCCCTAACAACGAAGGTAAGGTCAGTTTGTAGAAGGAAGCAGTTGTGTTTGAAAATAATGTCTAATTGTCTAATTGAGGGGCAGACAAAGTGACAAATCAGAGAAAGATTTGACAGAATGAGTCAGAGATGGGATGTGTTCAACTCACATGTGAGTAGCAGAGGAAGAGAAGCTATTTAAGAGCATTGGGGGAGAAAAAAGGGTGGTGGTGTGTGGTATGTATGCATGGCAGTTTTATGGAGACAGGTTACAGAGAGAACAAGCTGGACAATGGTAAAGACAGAATGAGAAGGAGCCGGAAGATTAGAACGTATTCCCAAAATTAGTGTGAGGCCAAGCAGACCAATGCAGTCAAAAGCTGAGAGAAAACCAGACTGAATCAGTTGTCTTGGAAAATTAGATTGCATGGAGTCTAGATGTCTCCAGGCCTAGGCTTAGGGATGGTTAGAACAGAAAACAAACCACTCTTGGTTTGGCTCTCATCTCATTCCTTCATCTGAGGAAATAGAAGTGACATTTAAAACAGGTGGGAAGGAACTACTGTCCACATAGATATGATATAACTTCAATGATACTGTAGATAGAAGTCGTTTCAAACTCAATGACTGTTGGATACCAGCCAGGATAGAAGGGGACTTACTTTATGGAGGCTTGTAGCTTCTCACACAGAACTGCGAGGACAGAGACAACGTCATCACATAGGGCCTCTACCGTTAAGCCTTCAAAACAGAGGAGGTGCTAAGCATTAGACACTGGTGGGACATGAAGTTTCCCTCAATGTCCTTCCCATCCTGTGATTTAAGTGGTTTTTGAAGAGTTTTAGATAGAGTCTCTTTTAGGCCATCAGAACAATCATAGGGAGGAGAATGTAAAACACACAAAATACAGCCCAAGGAAAAAAAATACAAGGTTGTTTTTCATTATAAATAAAGTTCTTCTGCTGTGTGGTAAAATTAAAAAAAAAAATTCTGGAAGAACACATAACATGCAACTTAGGTTTCTATAACTCTCTCTACAATTCTCATCTTAGCAATTAAACTTGAATCCATGAATAATGAAGAGGAAGGAAAAAAAGAAAGAAAAAAAAGAAGGGAGAGGAGAGGAGGAGGAACCAAAAGTCTCTAAATGGGAGGGATGTAAAATGCTAATTCCACCCACACAGTTGGCACAGGAAGGTGTTGGAACAGAAGGAAGACAACAGCTGGTTAGATAATACTAAGCAAGGCAGAGCCAAACAAAACTTGGGCCATCTTTATACCTCCAGTTCCATGCACCAAGTAGGTATTCTTATACCCCACCAATTTTAAAAAGTCTAGTAAAATCTAATCCCAATACCTTGACTCCTGAATTCCTGTGGGGCATCTGGGTTTTCAATTATCTAGTGAGAAAGACACACAGAAACAATTAGAAGATTTGGGTAAGAAAATTGCTGACTCTTAGACAATGCAGAGTTCTAGGAAACAAAATGGCATTCTGAGCTCTCTGGGTTCAGATGTCTTATCCAAGCACGCTAGAAGCATTCCATTGCCCCCCATGACCTTAATGAGAAAGACTATCAGTGTATCCATCTCCAAAATAAACGACTCAAGAATTTAAACCCTTCTTGGAATTTTAAGCCCCATCATGTACTTTCATTGCTGGATTATAACTTGAGGCACTGTGTATTTGAAGACATAAACAATAATTCATCTCAAGGTGACAGGATATACTGTTTGGACCTAACAGATCTAGGCTCTGTCATAAGAAGAATCACCCTTGCTGGACTTGGAATACAGGTTCAAAGATGAACAAAGCTCAAAGCACCACCTTCCAGTTTAATGGGATTGCATATTAACTTGAAATTGTCAAGCAGCCTCTCTTGGCAGCTGCTAGGTAGATCCAGAACTATTTGAGAGAGCTATCACCTAGAAAAACAGGAAGTGAAAGAGGCTTACATATAAGATGGCTTGTGTTTTCATGACAGGCATAATTCAGGGACTATTGACCTGAAGATGGTACTGAGGTGACTCAGGTTTCCTACCTCTCTGAAGCAAGATTTGGTTGATAAGGGGGCATTGTCATGCCAACTAGCTACCGGGCTTGGGCTTGTAAATCACCCTACAGTGCTGCATTTTAAAGACTCACTACAGTTGCATGTGTCTACTGTTCAGTATTCAAAATGTGCAAATTCAGCTACTTCCACAACAGATTTTGTGAGATGTTATATCAGTGTCTCCAAAACAACTGCCAAGAGAAGGCATCACATTTAAAGCTAGAGGTAGGTCTATAGCCCAGCCACCCAATATTTATACATGGCAATTTCACTTTGAAAAATCAGCAGCTTACAATTCAGCAATGGATTTGGTCATTTAAATAATTCAGTAATAAAGTAAGATGATAACTCAGTGTTTCTAAGATTACAAAAATCAGAACTGTGATTTGTCTGGGGAAGGGGTAGAGGCTGTAGGCATTATATAGAAGCTGTTCTTTATTCTAATGCCTTTGCATTCCCCATTATATATTGCCTTTCTTTTTTCTTTCTTTTCTTTTTTTTTTTCAAGACAGGGTTCCTCTGTGTATCCTTGGCTGTCCTGGAACTCACTGTGTAGACCAGGCTAGCCTCAAACTCAGAAATCCGCCTGCCTCTGCCTCCCAAGTGCTGGGATTAAAGGCGTGCGCCACCACTGCCCGGCATATATTGCCTTTCTGCTGTATCGAGATCTTCCTAGTTCTGAGTTGGTCTAGGAAGTATTTCCAGTGATGAATATACACATTCTTCCCAGGTAACCCTGAGCATCCTCCAGGAGACCACATAACTTCCTTAGAACAAAGCTCATCATTTTGATAGACACTCTTCTTTAATAGCTTTTGAAAAAATATCTAATTTTTCAGTGGAAAAACCGACAGATCTGTCTATAAGACATCACAAATGCTTCAAATGTTACCATTCTGAGAATTTCTTTTTTCTGGGATAAGCAATCAATCTCTAAAGAAATACCCAAGTAAGGAGAAGGAAGTCACAGAGAATGCAATTTTCCATTTGATTTTGGATCTTGCCTTTGACTGGGCCGACTCCAGATAGTTAATGATGAGCAGGACCAGCAGGCTGACTGGTCACATACAACCTCTGCAGTATACAACCAGACCTCCTCCTTGGCTGTACCTGCTACCATTCCAACGGAAGCATCAACACCAGAAGACGGAGGCACACTAGTTGACACCTAATATAGTTATGAGTTGGCACCTAATATAGGTATGTACCTTTTAATGCTAGGGATATACTGAGAATGTCACTACTACATAATTTTTGTCATTGTGTGACATAAATTATATGCACAAAACCCAAAATGATTTAGTCTACTATACTGGGAGGCTATACGGTACGCTCCATCACAGATACAGAAGATCCTTGCCCAAGACATTTTTATGACTGTCCTCTACTTACAACCCCCTAAATAAGATTAAATAAACATAATTGAGAGTTTGAAATACTGTATTTAAATATTTTAACAGTATTAGGTATTATTACTATCAGAATATTCAATTCTGTTACTAGTCAGCAAGGACGAAATATGACATTATTTTAGAATTCTTAACATCTTAAATTTCTTCTTTTCTCCTAATATGTTTTCTATTTATAGATTCTTTTGAGTTAACATTCCTATAGTCATCATACCCAAAATCTTAGTATAAATTTTCAACAAGGAGTTAGTTAGAGTAAAAGTGATATCTCAGGTTAACAATTTTTATCAGAAACTTGGACTTTGGGTACAGGAAATATAAAAGAAAAAAATGTTTTTCTAAATTCTTGCTGCTTGCATGCACTGGCTTCCAGAGCACATGTCAGTGGAGAATGCAGTCTGAGAGTTATAGCTCAGGGCTTAACTTTGTTTCCTTCATGGATAGCTCATTTAACTTTATAGTTCAATTTTTTCATCTCGTCTGTAAAATAAGGAATGCAAAAATTTGACTTGACTATCTCTAAAGTTCCCTTCAAATCCATGGTTTTCTCAAAAATTAGAAAACTACTGAAGTAAAAATGAGAAATATTTGAAATTACGTAGATGAAAACCTCATCTCTGCAAAATTAATGTTTGCACTATTTCCAACTCCAACTGAGATTTCCTACCCTAAAAAATAACAAGCATCATCTCAGAGCTCCCTGTTGGATTTTATGAGAATTTTAATGAATTATTATTACAGAGGCGATTTTAAAGTCCAAGCAAAACACTACTCTTTGAAGATTCATCTCTTATTCGCACTCCTGGAAGAAAATACAAACAAAAAGCTACAGTTCGATTCTTTGGAGGCTCATGTTAGACCATCTGTGCCAGTTTAGAGCAAAAAACTCTGGTGGGCCTTGAGGTTAGAAGATACTCATCTTTACCTTGCAGGGCCTAGCAGGTGTGGAGACATTCTCCTGTTACTTTAGCTAATACAGGAAATCATATTCAAACTCAAAGCATGAAGTAAGCTGTGGCTTGTTTTTCTTCACTTCACAAGTTTACTACTATAATATGTTTTTTAAATTTTAAAATTATTCTATGAATATGGGTGTTTTGACTGCATGTATATTTGTTCAGCAAATGGGTTCCAGGTACTTGAGAAGCTAGAAGAAGTCACTGGGTCCTCTGGTACTGGAGTTACAGACAGCTATGAGCTGCCATGTAGGTGCTAGAAACTGATGCCAGGTCCTCTAGAAAGGCAACCATTGTTCCAAACTATTGAGTCATTTCCCTGGTCCCCTACGTAATAATTTTAACAAAATTATTCAATGGAAAAGTTTCAAAAACTGATTTTAAGAAAGAAAAGTGAAAATCTAAAACACTGATCAAAATTTTATTATATTTTATTACAAAACCCATAAAGGTGCTCCATACTTTGGGAAAAAAATAAACAAATTTCTATATATTTTAGTTTATATAAATGAACATTCTAATAAAAAGATTTCCCAGTGTTTTCAATGGGAAGTAGCCATGGTAGGAGGGGCTGTAGGCCTCGGACATATGGCACGCAGGGACATAAGTGTCATAACCAAAGCACAGCCAGGCAAGGAGCACAATAAGCTCACCGTGTTCTCCTGTCTCTGCCGCAACTGTAGAGTCAGGTCACCCAACATCTGACTGAGAGTTGCACGCACAGCAGTGTTGATACTGCGCTGGTGACAGCTGCACGTGTATGTCTCAATGCACACCTGGTAAGGAAACAAGAGCAAAGCACACACTCTAGACATCCATTTACCACAGATAGTCATTGGCATTAGCCAGAGAGGATACCAGCATTTGAAAGTTTTAAACAAGCTTTTGCTTGCTTTCTTATAACTGAGACTGGCTTTGAACTCAGGGTCGTCCTGATCCTGCCTCCAAGTCCTTCTGAAAGAGAAAGTCACCTAGACTTTGAATTATTTATGAATAAAACATATCGTGCCATATTTAAAACTTCTGAAAATTTGTTTTTAAACATTAATGGAAATCATTCCCTGATCATCACTACTCTCACAATCTCATGTTTCTGAGTTTCACAGGGGAATATACATCTGTGGGGGGTTTGTGAAACAAATAATTCTAAGAGAAACTCAGATGGCTCAGGTAGACAGCTTCACTTGTTTTATACTAGGACAGGAAATCTCAATGCTATAAGTTTGAATTTGTGTTAACTGTTGCTGTGTTCTCTGAACAATGACAAAGGTCGAAAAAAATGTGTAACTGCCTTGGGGGGATCTATGATTCAACTCAGAATATCAGGTGGGAAGCCACAGGTTTGGGCTTCTCTACATGCAGAAAGCTCTGTCATGGAGTGTGTCCTCTGAGGCAGCAAACCTCTCTCACAGCGTTTTTCTCACAGACAATGGCTTCTACTGGGGATGTGGAATTCTGAAGCAAGCAAGGGTGACCTTGTGTTTATGAGGTGACACTCAGCTTCCTGTGCCAAACTGCTAACTGAGAGCCAGAGAGCCACCTGGTCTGCTGTAAAGATAAGACATATACTGTCACTATCCTGCTTGATTTCTGTCCAGTGTCCTGTTGAGTGAACATGCCAATCAAGACACTCTGAGATCTGTGAGACTGAATGTCTACTTGAATCTAAAAAGGCTTGTTGGTGGCTAGTTATGGAAAAATCCCAGATTTGGATCAAGGAGGTAATTTATTACTTTATAATGATTCTGAACGGCATGCAATGGCTTTCATGAGCTCCAATTCTTGAAGCTGAAAGGGTGTGCCTAGCAATGGATGCCTGCTTACATGTTGCCTTCTTCTTTCCCTCTCTATAAGGCATCTGTCTTTCAATGAAGAGGGGAACAGAAAACAAAAAAGAAAATCAAACACACTAAAATTATGCATTTAGGAACAGCTCCCGAAGGGCTCTAATAAAAATAAAAACTCTAATTTGATGACTAA